GCACAGACCAGAACTAACATCACCATGTTGCCAGCTATGTAACCTGGGCCTCCCTCCCACTCCCTGTTAAGTCCCCCCATCCCCACTGGTTGCCAGAAGGGACCTGGCAACCCTAATTGCTGTGCATAGGGTTGCCAACTCTGGTTGGGAAATTTGGGGGTGGAGCTTTGGGAGAAGAAGGACCTCAGCAGAATTGTATAAATAGAGTCCACCCTCCAAAGCAGCCATTTCCTCCAGGGGAAGAGATTTCTGTAGTCTGGAGATCAGTTTTAATTCCAGGAGACTGCCAGACCCTATCTGGATGTTAGCAACTCTATGTGCCACGTGGGACCCCACTGATCGATGTGGCTCGAGTCTTGTGAATGATTCTGCCGGGTGTGTGATCATGACCCAGCATTACTGCATCAGCCCGGATATTTTTCATCCTTATTCCAATGTTCAAGGGTCAGCAAAGAAGAGGAACTGAATAGAAAAAGAAATGTGCGGTTTTAACATAATCCGGCAATTATAACACTGTGTTGCTTTAATGTTTGATTCTGGTTGAACTCCTAACCCAGTTTACATACAGAGCAAGACAGGATGGTATAACTGTGAGGTGGTACAGACTGGATGCAGATGAGAGATATTTTTAATGCTCCCCCATAACTGCCCCTTGCACTAACACATCGGGGAGAAAGGTTCTAGCCTAGCTGCTTTCTCACTGCACTGGGTTTTTACTAGAATGATGCATGAACAAAATCTTAAAACCAAAAAAAGAAAATAGAACGAAAGGTTCAAGAAACCAAGAGAGTCATTACAGGTAGCTAAACAGGTCTACAGCCAGAAATGTTATGGGTGAAGGGACGTGAGTACACCGGGATGTGTGTGTATGTTTGGTCCCTAACATCCTGAAACTTGAGACTCATAGGGCAGGTCCAGGACCTGATACTGTCCTGTGGGTCCGGGTCCAATATAGGGTGGGGCCTGGTGATGTCACATTTAATTGCCTTAGTAGTAGTACTTCCAAACATCACTAAGTGAGAGCATCACTAGGTGAAAGACAGTGTGGTTAGAATGTGAATTTGAGTAGAATTTGAGACTAGAATTTGAGGGACCCAGGTTCAAGTCCCCCCTATGCCATGGAAGCTAGCTGGATACCCTTGGGCCAGTCACATGCTCTCAGCCTAACTTAAGTTAGGGTTGGTGCCGATTAGATCTGGCTTCAGGTTCTTCCTGAATTGTGGTACATGTATTTCCACTGTCTCCTGTCTTTGCTGAATTGACCATATGCTGTAAATATGAAGATGTTACAGAGCACAGTTCAGATCATCCTGAACATGTGTTTTTACTGCTGAGTGTTTGGTGCCATCATGTGGTCAGTTTAATTTTATGTATCAGCCAGAGCTGTTGTGCACCCCACTGCTAAAGTGACTGTGTATCACAAAGGAAGGCACCGATTCCATTTAAATCAAAGGAATATGTTTGTTTGTTCAAAGCATTTACCCCCCATTTGTGCAATCCTAAGAACACTTTCCTAGGAGGAAGTCTCATTAAATAGATCCGAGTAGGAGCCAGAGTGATATAGTGTCTAAAGTGTTGGACGAGGATCTGGGAGACCCAGGTCTGAATCCCCACTCTGCCATGGAAGCTTGCTGGGGGACCTTGGGCCAGTTGTTACCATGTGTGCTTTTATATATGTATTATCTGAGCTATGATGATGCTGTATGTCTGCAAAATGTCTTTGCATTTCTGCATATGGGTTTGGGAATGTTGTGTAGTCTGACTGCTATGCTATGTGCTTGGCCCTCTCAGCCTATGTGCTTGGCCCTCTCAGTCATGCCCTCTCAGCCTAACCTACCTCGCAAGGTTGTTGTGAGGGTGAAAAGGAGGAGGAGAGAACGGTGTAATCTGCTTTGGGTCCCCGTTGGGGAGAAAGGCAGGATATAAATAAAGTAAACAAAATAAACAATTCTGAGTAGACCTGCTTAGGACCGCCTTCTGCAGATCTTACAGCGCAGTCCTAAGCAGAGTTTCACCATTCTAAACCCACTGACTTCAACAGGCCACTAAGGCAGCTTCCAAATTCATAACAGTAAAAAAACCCTGCAGTCTGGCAATAAAAAGCAAAAAAAAAAAAAAAGGAAATAAATGGACCATACAACCAATCAGTAGCAGGAAAATTAAAAAACTGAGAAATTTTGGGAAAACTTAGATTTTGTTTTTTCTTTTGAAATCAGTGAAATGCTTTTCAGGCAAAGTTCTATTGACTCAAAATGTACAGCATGGAAACCCCCATTTCTCCCCCAGGAAAGGAAATGGGAAGCTCTTGGAAAGCACTGAAGGTGTTCTCCCCCCCCCCCTTGAAATGCGTGAAACACAGGGTGCACCTCTTTGCAGCTCTCTCTTGTGCTTTCTTATTGGGCGCCTTTGCAATTTTGCTTGTAGAAAACCAATATTACAGTCCTAAACAAATGTATATCCTCCCAAGGCCACTTACTTCAATAGGTTAGAAGAGTGTAACTCTGCTTCAGATTGTACTGAAAGGCATTTATACTTTTAAATTCCACAAACATGCCAATTAATACAGTTGTGTATGTCAGCTAAGTAATAAATGATGCATTTTATCTTGTTAAAGCAGGGGGAAATGGGTTTTACATATATTTCAGTTTTTCTGGCTTCAAAATTTCTAGTGGGAGGTGGAAACTAGTGCGGGCCATAGCAGTTGCCACTCCCCCCCCCCCAGTGATGGCACCCACTGCGTCTTTGAGGCAGCTCAGGTGACTTGGATGTTGAATCCACTCTGCGCAAAGACTTGCAGATGGTAACAAAGGTCATCTACCACTATTTACATTGGATAAATATTAATAAGCTCAAGTAATTAGTCTATTTCTTCGAACCTTTCTTGAGCCCCCTTCAAAAACAGGTGATGTTCACCTTGTCTGCTTTTCACTTCTGTGTCTGGTCTTACATTCACAACATCCACCCTGCACAAATTGTACAAGAGAGACTCAGTGGTCCTTTTTAGTGTGTTGTGTGAAACCAAGTGTGATGTGCGGGTCTTCCTCCCCTGAAAAGCCACATCCACGGGAAGTCAAGAACGGAATGTTGTTTTGATACAAAATATACACGTCTAAGTCTTCACCCAGCTTTTGTTGTTGTTCAGTTGCACAGTCGAGTCCGACTCTTCGTGACCCCACGGACCAGATCACCCAGCTATCATCAGCATTACCTACTTCACAGCTGTTTTAAGGATAGAATTCTAAAAGATATAAAAACATGCACGAACCCTTGTTTGCACACATTCAACCAGAAGATTTGTGGCACAACGTAAAAGTCTGATCTAGATAATTTTACAGAGATCCTCGCGAATTCATGCAGATTGAGACTGAAAGGGCAAGCGTGAAGGTAGCTCCATCAAGGAAGCCATGGCTTTCAGTTTGCAAGATCCAAGAATAGCTGTCAACAATAGGTTGCTTTTGAGGTCATTATTTCATAGGGTCCCCATAAATTTGTAGCAACTTAATAGCACAACACACACACATGAGCATCCATGGTCTGGATAGACGGCTTTGAGTTGTGCCATAAAGCATTTGATATCTGTGTTTTTAATTCTACAGTCTGTAGACATAGATGTGATCTATAACTCTGCACTGCAATGTATGGGGCTCCCTGTAAAAATCATGATATCCATGAGATACAGACGTTTGATATGTGTTCTTGTGCTATAACGGCCTCACAAATTGCTGAATCTTTTTTTTTTACAGCAGTCCATGGATGGGTATGGATGGAATTCATGCATTAAGGGGATATTTCAGGTGACACCTTGTAAAAATCACGAGGACTCATGGCTTGGATACATTTTTTTTCACCATGGTGCCACCATGAAGGACTGAATCCATGATTTGTATAGTCTAGACTGTGGACATGAGTGTGTTCTTTGATTTCACATGTGGATTTTGAACTGTATGTAAGAGAATAAGTTATCAGTATTTTTGCACCCCAGAGACACAATGGAGCTTTGGACCTCTTGCATTTACAATATGGCGTGTGGAAATGGAGCTGATCTGTGAATTGATGGTCTGTTGTCTGGATCCTCTATTTCACTGAAAAAGGGATCCATGAGGATCTGTGTTGATGCAACATTTTACCTCTTCCCAAGATGGATAATGTGTTAGGATGCATCCTAACTTTGTGTGCCAATTGCTGTGCAACACAATCCTATACAAACTAACTCGAGTCTAAGTCCATTGATTTCAGTGGGTTTATAATGGGCTAACTCTGCACAGGATTGCGCAGTGTGACTGCAATGAAGATGTTGCTTCTGAAATCCTTAGTTTTGCTTACCCTGTCAAGTCAGTTTCTTTGTTAACCAAGTCCCAGTTGGAACACAACAGCGTTTGAGTAGTCTGGTTCTGGCACCCAAACGCCTCCAGAGCATCCCACCCACACCCACCCCGCAAGAGGGAGGGAAACCCGTTTTTTTTTTCTCAAGCATGCACAGATTTACACCCTCGTTCTTTAGCCATTCACAATTTTATAAGCACTTTTGTTGAAAGCAAATAACTTAAAAAATGGAAGCACTTTCTACGGATTAATCAGCGAATTCACTCCACCTTCCAAGTTCCAAATGAATGAATCGTCATCATTCAAAGATCATGACCGCCCGACGGATTTCAAACAAATTGGTGGTTTCTGGTTATGAGAAGCGGATCTCGTCAGCACTTAATACGAAGTATTCTGTAACAAAAGGAATACTAGCAATTATATTAAGGAGGACATTCCTTCCCACGCAGTTCGCTGGTCGAAGAGAGGTTTCTAATAAGCCCACCAACTGCGCGCGATTCCCTCCAGCTGCGACACAATGGCATTGCCTAGCAGCGGCCTTGGAACAGTCGGGCGCGCCTGTTCCTTCCAACGTGCAGACAACGCGCGCGGGGCAAATCTTTGGGGGGGGGGCGCGCCTTAGAGCTTGTGACCTCCGAAACGCGGCTCGGAAAAGCGGAGGAGGGAGGGAATGCGGGATGCGTGGCCCCTGTTACACGGACTGCGTGGAGCGGCCCCTGTCCCGCGCGCTGCGGAGCCTGGGGGGCTTGGTGGGCGCCCACCCGTGGCCCTTCCTGCTGCTGCCCCTGCTGCTCTCGGCCGCGCTGGGGGTCGGCTTCACGCTGCTGCCCATCCGCCAGTCGAACGACATCGAGACGCAGTTCACGCCCCGCGAGGGACCAGCCAAGGCCGAGCGGCGCCTGGTGCGGGAGCGCTTCCAGACGCACGACGCCGAGCGCTTCTCCGCGCAGAGGCTGACCACCGAGGGCACCTTCGCCTCCTTCGTGGCGGTGGCCAGGCTCAGCCACACGCTCCTCACCCGGGAGGCCTTCGCCGAGCTGCTGGCGCTGGACGCGGCCGTGCGAGGGCTCCGAGGCGGCGGATACGACTACGCCCAGGTCTGCGCCCGCCGCGACCATCTACTTCTGCTTCATTGACTATGCTAAAGCCTTTGACTATGTGGATCACAACAAACTATGGCAGATCCTTAAAGAGATGGAAGTACCAGACCACCTCACATGTCTCTTGAGAAACCTGTATAAGGGTCAAGAAGCGACCGAACCGGATATGGAACAACTGATTGGTTTAGCATAGGAAAAGGAGTACGACAAGGATGTACATTGTCATCTTGCTTATTTAATATATATGCAGAGTACATCATGCGAAATGCTGGCCTGGATGAATCACAAGCGGGAATTAAGATTGCTGGCCTGCTCCTTGGGAGGAAAGCAATGGCAAACCTAAACAGCATGATAAAAAGTAGAGACATCACCCTGCCAACAAAAGTCCGCATGGTCAAAGCAATGGTATTTCCAGTAGTCATATATGGCTGCGAGAGTTGGACTATAAGGAAGGCTGAGCGCCGAAGAATAGATTCTTTTGAACTATGGTGCTGGAGAAGACTCTTGAGAGTCCCTTGGACTGCAAGAAGATCAAATCAATCAATCCTAAAAGAAATCGACCCTGACTGTTCCCTGGAAGGCCAGATAATGAAACAGAAGAGCTCAAATACTTGGGCCACCAAATGAGAAGGGAGCTCTCACTGAAGAAGACCCTGATGATGGGAAAGATTGAAGGTCAAAGAAGACAGGGACGACAAAGGATGAGATGGTTAGACAGTGTCATGGATGCAACGAACATGAAATTGAGCAAACTTCAGAGGATGGCGGAAGACAGTCGTCTGGCGTGATCTGGTCCATGGGGTCGCGAAGAGTTGGACTCGACTGTGCGACTGAACAACAATAGAAGCCCAGCACAACAGAATCAAAGTCCCAGAGAATCTCTGCCATAGAAACTGAAGATGGGGGCATTTTTGCAAGCCCAGCAGAACCAGTACCACTAAGGTCATGCCTGAGAATATCTGCAGTAGAAACGGAAGGGGGGAATTTTGCAAGCCCAGTAGAACCAGTGCAGTGTGCCCAGCAGAACCCGTACCACTGTGGCAGTGCAAACCCAACGGGACTAAGCCAGAGAATCTCTGCAGCAGAAACTGAAGGGAGGGGGTTGCAAGTCGATCAGAACCACTGCAATGTACAAAGTGCCCAGCAGTACCACTGTAATCAGAGTGACCAGCAGAATCCAGTGTCATTGTGGCAATGACAGCTCAACAGGACAGATATCTAACATGACTGATATCTAGCACTAAAGTTCATGATGAATTTTGGCCAGTTCATGGTTAGCAAGCTGAAGTTCATGGTGGGTCAACTGGCACAAACTTTCCACAAACTTCCAAGCAGTTTGTGCTGGTTCATGAATGGGTACATTTCCAAACAGACTGAAAATGACCCAGGCAATTGACAGGATTGCACCTAGGAGCTCTCTCTCAGGTTGAAAAGTTCAGGTAGCTGCTGGGTTTACCAAGGGGCTGCAGATAATGAAAAGATAGGGGAGATGGCTAAAGTGACAGTGGAGAAAGACTCAAGACAAATCTGACAAGGCACAGTGCTAGAGTTCATTTGAAAGTCCACTCCATAGTTGAGACAACATAGAGAAAATATTTTCCCACCACAATTGCATCCACAGTGTGTAGACCCGCAGAACTCTTCTGGGTGGCAGGGGCCTATTGGGTTCTGGCTGACAGGAGGTGGTGTACTGTTGTGCAGCCCACTGCAATAATTTTGCTAAGTACTTTGTGGATAGAATCTCCATCCATTCCAGCTTCAACTGTACATTAGCAGCAACAGAATCAGGTTATCCCCTGTTCTGGATGGGGTTGTACTCTCCCTAAAGGAGCAGGTTCGCAGTTTGGAGTTGCTCCTGGATCCAGGAGCGGTAGCCAAGAATGCCTTTTTTAACTGTATTTTTAATTGCTCAAACTTTTAAATGGTTTTATTTAATGGTCACTGCCTTGTGCACCCTGATAGGGTGGAAAGGCGGCATTAAAATGTCTTCATTAATTTTTCTCAGGTCCCCACAAGGACATCAGCTAAGTAACTGTAGACTTTTTGAATCCTCTAGAGCATCCTGGAAACCAGTTGCACCCATTAGCCTTCAGGGGTAGAATTATCTGACTGGTCCCCTGACCCTGCGCTCTCAGAACAGAATGATTGGACTATGAAGAAGGCCGTTCTTCAGTTGCTGTTGAAGCCTACCCTTTTGGACTCAGAGTATCCAGAGAAATGGCTAGTTGCTATCCTTAGGCAAGCTGATTGAGCAAGTGGTGGCATTCCGATTTTCTGAAAAAAATATTTTAGTCGAAATACATGACAGCCTGGTTTTTAGGGAAATAGCCTCTATCTACTTTAAGCCTCTTGGGGGGGGGGGGAATGGAAACGTTTTGTGCCTAGGGAGAGCATTTTCAGTTAAGGAGATTGTTTCCCCTTTTCTAGTGTTGCACCCTTGACTCATCTCTTTTTAGAACCAAATAATATGTCTGACATTTCAGCCTCTTTACACAATAAGAGAAATAATATTTAACTGAGAAACCTCTTTCTTTCTTTTTCTTTATTATTCCTTGCAGGTGGCCTATTTTTCCTCATTATCCAGACAGGAAGAATTAGAAAAAAACAGTAAAGAAGTGGTCCCTTTTTTTATCATCACATATTTTTTAACAATATGCTTTTCAATTTTTTCATGTTTAAGGTAACATTTTCCTCCCTCAGTTCTTGGTTGGGGGAGGAGAGGGGAAGCAGTGTGGTGTCATTGTGCAGTCATCTATTCTTAGTTAAATAAATTTCCGAAATAAGAAGGTCCACAAGTATAGTTCTGTTAATTAGAATCAGTATATGCACAATGCACTTTTAACTGCATTCAAAAAAAGTATAAAAAACTGGCAAATAGTATCCATTTATTTGTCGCGCAAAGAATTAACTAATAATGAGAACGTTTGAGACATGAGAAGTTAATTTAATTGCTTGTTCATTTATTTTATTCACTTTATTTATAGTCGCCTCAAGGCAGAGTTGAAAAAATGAGGGAAAGGTTAGTGCATGTAGCCTAACAGCAGAGTCAGACAGTGTAAGACATCCAATAAACCTTGCAACAGACCCATGCTCCCAACACCGTGGAAACTAAATTAAACCAAGACTTAACATCAGCACCCTGTAAGCTGTAAACCTCAGACCTCAGGTTGCCAGGTGGATTCATTGCGCCAGTGGGGGGATTTGGGGGGGTGTTCCAGGAGCTGCGGTGGCTCAAGTGGTTAAGAGACTGAACTGCAGGCTGTGGAAGGTTAGTAGTTCAGCAGTTCAAGACCCGGGTGCCGCATGATGGAGTGAGTTCCCATCTTTAGTTCCAGCTCCTGCCAACCTAGCAGTTCGAAAGCAAGAAATTGCAAGTAGATAAATAGGTACCACTTCGGTGGGAAGGTAACAGCGTTCCGTGCGCCTTGGTGTTTAGTCATGCTGGCCACATGACCACGTTTCCAGGAGTGAACAGGGACATCTTAGACTAATTTTTGATTGCATTGTTTTCCAATTTTGTAATTCTAGGTCTGTTGCAAGGTTTATTGGATGTCTTTCTCAAGAATTGCCCAGAAGCAGTCAAAACTTCTGAATTCACAACATAAACAATTCCCAAAACTGCCAGGCTTAAATGCTCCCACCTTTTAGGTTTGTTTGAGAACACCTATGCCCCTAATAGAAATTTGTATGGATTGGTAGAGGGTAGTGCTCCATTTAAGCCAGGCAGATCCCGCTTCTCCCATGGCTTCAAAACTTCTAGAACTTTTACACCTTGGGTAAATCTCTCCCTCCCTCAAGCACTCCTTGTGATAATATTGTCATAATTTTTAGAAATGGGAACCATTTCTGATTCTTGTGGCTCTACATGCGATACTCTAGTTTTGTTTAAGGAAACATTGGGTCTGTATATGCAGCATGAAATTTTGAATCCAGTCATATGGTTTATACTATGTTTTGCAGGCTCGACTGTGTACGAACAAAAGTATGGGTTGCAGCATTTGGAGTGCTGTCATCAGTTTTAGCTGTTATCAGTAGTTTTGGATTATTGCTCTTTTGTGGGGTACCTTTTGTTATCACAGCCGCAAGTGGACCATTTCTTACACTTGGTAAGTAAGAGACAATATCAATTTCTATAAATAAAAGAAGAAGAGATTGGATTTATACCCCGCCCTGCACTACCTGAAGGAGTCTCAGAGTGGTTTATAGGCCTGCCAAATCTCGCCAAATCATGGCGGGGGATCTGCATGACTTTGCAGAATCCTTGCTGCGGGGACGGCGAGACGCGTTGCACCGCCATCGCCAGGACATGACACTATGCGTTGCTCCGGCAACGGGGCTGTTTGGAGCCCCATTGCCAGAGTGACGCGTAGCGTCAGATCCTGGCAATGGTGGGTGCAATGCATCTCGCTGTCCCCGCGGCAAGGATTCTGTGAAGTCCTACGATCCCCCGCCGCAACTTGGCAACCCTAGTGGTTTACAATCTCCTTTCCCTTCCCCTCCCCACAACAGACATTCTGTGAGGTAGGTGGGGCTGAGAGAGCTCTCTTGAGAACTGCCCTTGAGAGAACAGCTCTGAAAAAACTTATGACTTACCCAAGGTCACACCAGCAGCTGCATGTGGAGAAGTGGGGAATCTAATCTGGTTCTCCCAGATTAGAGTCTGTGCTCCTAACCACTGCACCAAACTGGCTCTCCAGTTTGTAGGGTAGACACTGAGAGCAGGTCCACTCAGTTCCACTGAAGCTTTGGATAGATATATCTAACCAGGATTTATACACACGTGCACACACACACATAACCTAGAGTATTAAGAAGCAATGTAGAAATTTAAGGCTTTCCTTCTTAATGCCACTCATCCTCCAGACTTGAATGTTGGTCATAAGTCTGATGTCCATTTTGATTTCTTCCTTTCACCCTGCTTATCAGTAGCCACTGAGAAGACTTCATTTTTATGTATATCTGTTTTGAACCTTGATTCTAATTTTAACCAGCCAGTATACTGGTGGAAAACGATCCCAATTGAGATCAAGACCCTGCGGGACTCATTGCAATTCCGCAGGGACTGCAAAACGGAGCTGTTTCACCAGGCCTTTGGTTGAGGCAGTAGATGTCAAATAACATCAGCATCCCCTGCTCAAGCACCCGTGGCTTTATTTATATCCTGGTGTGCCTGGTCTGAATAATCTGTTTATGCAGAGCACACCCTGCCCTCCCTGGCATGAACCCAGCAGACAGTGTAAGAAGAAGAAATTATTGCTACGCTGTTAGGGACTAGTTGACTAACTTAATTGTTGAGCTGATGTTTTAATGAACAGTTTTATAATTAATGTATGGTTCTGCTGTTGGAATGTTGTTGTTCAGCCACCCTGAGCCCGCTCGTGGGGTACAGCGGGATATATGTCTCAAAAATAATAAATAAATACAGCTACTCTAGAGATCGTATTTGCTCCAGTACACATAAGCCAGTTATAAAGTATACACAAGCTCACTGTAAATTACGTGTGTGATTTTCACCACATTTACCCTCAAAATACACAGTAACAGACACCAGATCTAGTCGAGATAGCTGTTGCTCAGCAATTTAAAGTAAAATGTGGACAAAGTGCTTTCATGCACCCTTCACATAGATACAGTCATGTGAATTGGGAATTCAGCTAGGTGTGCAAAAGTACAAAAGAGAAGCATCTACCCTTATTTGAATCATGCCGCCCCTGAAGTATGTGGAATTTTACTCTTAACTAAATGACTTCGGGATAGAAGTCAACGTTTCTATTAGTGTAGGAGATCTGTGCTTCACAGGAGATAGATCCAGAGAGTTAGGATGCCTCTCTTGACAGTAATCCCTTGCTGCAGGAGATGTGATTCCCCCCACCCCCAGCTACAGTTGTGTGTTGTTTTCCACAGCTGCAGGCATGGGTCACAGTCACAAGATATGCTTGGTGTTCGTGCTTATCCACTATTTCTGTTTCTTTCAAATATGATTAAAGGTTCAGAATCTTTAGCGTCTATGATTCTGTGGACAATTAGAAGAAAAATAGGTTCAGAAACCATGATTTGGTAGGCACACTTGTCTCTTGTAAATTTCCCTTCTTGTGCACCACCCGATGTGGAAACTAGCAATAACCTTTGTCTTTCTTCAGGGGTTGGTGTTGATGACATGTTCATCATGGTGTCCTGCTGGCAACGGACAAAAGTCAAGCACAGAGTGAAGGACCGGATGGCCAACACCTATGCAGATGCGGCTGTGTCCATTACCATCACAACTCTCACTGACGTTTTAGCCTTCTACATCGGCATTGCGACATCCTTCCCATCGATTCAGTCATTTTGCATCTACACAGGAACGGCCTTCGTCTTCTGCTACATTTACAACCTGACATTCTTGGGGGCAGTCCTTGCTCTGAACGGTAGAAGAGAAGAAAGCAACAGACACTGGCTCACGTTCATGAAAGTGACGGATGAAGCTCAGCATAGCTTTTTGTACAACTTGTGCTGTGTGGGAGGATTTTATGATACAGCCACTGGAAGAGAGCTTGAGCATCCCATGAATGAGTTTTTCAAAAAACATTTTGGCCCTTTTCTTATGCATAACGGGACCAAAGTGGCTGTAGTAGCCCTATATCTCACATACATATGTGGTAGTATTTATGGGTGCACCCATGTTAAGGAAGGTATAGATCTTCGAAATCTGGTCCAAGACCATTCTTATGTCGTCCGGTATTATGATTTTGAAGAAGAGTATTTTAAAGAGTACGGTCCAAGAGTCATGGCTGTTGTCACTGGAAGCATACCATATTGGAATTCAACGATTCGTGCAGATCTTGAGCACTGTATACAGGCGCTAGAAAATTCAACCTATGTGGACAAGAAATTATCCGAGTCATGGCTGAGGATGTATGAAGTGGCTGCTAACAGAATGTCTCTAAATATAGGTGACCGTAATTCTTTCATTGGCAATTTATCTATCGTGTTCAGAGAAAACCCGCAGTCTCGGTGGGATGTTAATTTTACTGATCTGGAAATATCAGCTTCACGTTTTTTCATACAGACCATCAATATTACTACTTCGGTGGATGAGCGGAATCTTTTAAATCAGCTGAGAGCCTGTGCAGCAGACTGTGATTTACCACTAATAGTGTATCATCCAGCTTTCATATTCTATGATCATTTGATTTTAATAGCACAGAACACCATTCAAAATGTTATGATTGCTACTGGAGCCATGCTACTTATTTCCTTGCTGCTGATTCCCAATCCTTTGTGCTCGGTGTGGGTAACCTTTGCTATTGCGTCTGTTATTATTGGTGTGACTGGCTTCATGGCCTTTTGGAATGTCAATCTTGACTCTATATCCATGATCAACCTTATCATGTGCATAGGGTTTTCAGTGGACTGCTCTGCTCATATTTCTTATGCCTTTGTTAGCAGCAAGAAAGCCAGCCTGAATGACAAGGCAGTGGATGCTCTATACCGCCTTGGTTACCCCATGGTCCAGGGAGCTGTTTCCACCATTGTGGGGGTATTGGTGCTCTCCATGACAAACACCTACATTTTCAGAGCATTTTTTAAGATTATATTTCTGGTTATTTCGTTTGGAACCTCTCATGGTCTCTTTTTCATTCCTGTATTTTTAACCTTCTTTGGCTTTTGTGGGAGATTGTCAACCACGCAGCACCAAATTGACTGCCAGTTCAGTGAAAATTCAGCCAGCATTGAACACAGCATTGCAAAACTGCCTGTTGTAAACACCTAGGCTCTACAGACGCGCTGATGCATCGATACAGCAAGCCAACCAGAAGGATTATGTTCAGTGGCTACCTGATGTGCCTTATGTTGCAATTCTATACATGCTTACCTTAGAGGTAAGTCCCAATGGACACAGTATGACTGACTTGCGCTGTGAACGTGCATTGGATTGCACTGTTAGTCAAACTAGCCTTGAGTCATTCAACAATGTAAGAAAGTGCTTCCGTATGCAGAATTTATAATAAACTGTTTAAGCTCTTTTAGAAGCCTGCATATGGCTGCAGTGATCATCGACCAATCAGAGCAGAGTTCCTTACATTACTAGCAGGAGAAAATCTTTTCATGTTATATCTCCTTGTCTGACTCATATTCAGTGGGAACCAGTTGCTTTAAGGTGGAATGGGACTTAATTATTTTATATGATCAAATAAATTATCCTGCTTTTTTACAATTAAGACATTCCCTCATTATTAAGGGAGCCATTTTAAACCCTCCCTGATAGGGTCGCCAAATGGCTGCAGAAAAAATGTCCTGTCCCTTTAACAGATAGTTAATGGGACAGTATTTCCCAGGTGTTATAAGCCTCTATTAAAGGGACAGGATTTTTTTTACCCGCCATGTTTGTTAGTAAACTGACCTGAACATTTTGGGATTGCAGCTAAACCTTATGCCAGCATAATGGCTAGATGCACCCATGTAAGCAGGAGATACAATAGCATATACTTCTCTTATGTTGATGGTTTACATTTAAGGGAAAGAATGGGAGCTGAAAACTACAACATTATTTTTAGGAAACTTAAAAGAGCTGCACGCCATGCATCTTATACTGACAGTGTTTAACTTTGTTTTTGGTGGAGGAATCATGGCACCTTCAGCTTTACTGTCATTCTCTGCACTGCTTTCAAGTTCCATTTCAGGTGGAGAGAAATCTGATTGAGAACTATTTGCACCACATTCCTTTTTACTGAAGCTGGGGTACCCAGTGTGGTGCCTGTGGGGGCACCATGGTGCCTGCCAAGTGTCTGTAGAAAGAAGGCAGGGCCCGATGGGGCTATTGCCCAGCAAAGATTCTGATTGGCCATTGGAGATTTGATTTGTCAGTGCAAATTTTTAAAAGCTTTGCTTTGGCGGCAGCTGCCATCACAGCACGCAGATCTTCACCGTGTGACTGAAGGTAAGCTGCGACAGCCATTTTAGGGCTGGCTCTGCCTCCTGTGGCAGCCATTTTATGCCCGTGTCCACCACACCATGTCAGAATTCCAAAGCTGCTTGCACCCTCAAAAAGGTTGAGGATCCTGGTGTGAAGAAATGCATTTTTTCCCCTTTGGAGGTTTGAAATGAGCAAAACCTTCACTCTGAGTTTTAAAAGGTTTTTTCCCCCTCTCTGGGCAGAGAACAGGCAGGAAGGGAGGAAGTCAGTTCAGTTTCTTTCCAGGCTTACTTCAGCCCACCTTCATACAACTGCTTGTTTGTTTATTTGTTTATTTATTTCAGTTTATATTCCGCCCTCCCTGCCAGCGGGCTCAGGGCGGATCACAAAGCAAAATGTAAAACATACAATAAAAATTACAATATAAATATAATTTACAGAACAATTCAAACAGTTTGAAACAGCATAGATTGAAAAACAGGTCACACCAGGGCTATTTTTGGGCAGGAACGCACAGGAACGGAGTTCCGGCTGGCTCCCAAGTTGACCACGCCCAGCAGGAACTCATTAGCATAATAGGCCACACCCAACAGCAGAAACTCATTAGGATTGGCTACATTAGGGGTGTGTGGCCTAACATGCAAAGGAGTTCCTGCTACAAAAAAAGTCCTGGGTGTTGACGACAAACAAGGTAAACAGAATAAGAAGCAAAAGGTGGGTGTGGCTGGATGAGCACACTTCTGGCAACACGGGGTGTGTGGCCTAATATGCTAATGAGCTGTGCTGTCATGGGTGTGGCCTAATATGCTAATGAGTCCATGCTGTTGGGTGTGGCCTATTATGCTAATGAGTTCCTGCTGGGCTTTTTCTACAAAAAGAGCCCTGGGTCACATTATTCATATACATAGATTTGAAGCTGGTGTCATTTGGTCTTCAGAATCTCCTTGATCAGGGCCACATAGAGATGGTAAACTTCAGCAGGGGGTGGAGGTGAGATTTTAGTGGATGCCCATCGCCTCAGCCAAAGGCCTGGTGGAACAGCTCCATTTTACAGGCCCTGCAGAATGGGAGTAAATCCCGCAGAGCCCTAATCTCAGGTGGGAGCATCTTCCACCAGGCCGAGGCCAGGGCAGAAAAAGGCCTGACCCTGGTCGAGGCTAAGCAGACATCCCTTGGGCCAGGGACAACCAGCAGGTCTTGATTGGCAGAGCACAAGGCTCTCCGGAGCACATACGGAGAGAGGTGGTCCCTCAGGTATGTTGGTCCCAGGCCGCACAGGGCTTTAAAGGTCAATACCAAAACCTTGAGGCGGAGCCAGTACTCAATCGGTAGCCAGTGCAATTGGTGTAGCACTGGCTGAATGTGTGCTCACACAGGCGGCACAGCAGGCGCGCTGCCGCATCTTGCACTAGCTGGAGTTTTCGGATCAGCTGTAAGGGCAAGCCTGTGTACAATGAGTTACAGTAATCAAGCCTGGAAGTGACCATTGCATGGGTCACTGTCGCCAAGTCCTAGGGGAAAGGTAGGGGGCCAATTGTCTGATCTGGAGGAGATAGAAAAAGGCAGACCTGGCAACTGCAGTGACCTGGGCCTCCATAGAACGTGAGGCATCCAGGACCACCCCCAGGCTCCCCACCTTCTGGACAGGCACAAGTGCTGTACCATCCCGGATGGATGGCCTGTTTCCCGATTCAACAACTCCCTGGTTCAGGTACAGGACCTCCATCTTCATTGGATTTCGTTTCAGCCAGCTGTGCTGCAACCATCCAGCCACGGCCTCCAGTGCCTTGGTCAGATTCTCTCGGGTGGAGTTGGGCAGCCATCCATCAACAGATAGAGCTGGGTGTCATCCGCATACTGGTGATAACCCAGCCCAAACCCCCGGACCAACTGGGCGAGAGGGCGCATATAGGTGTTAAACAAAATTGGTGAGAGAATCACCCCCTGTGGCACCCCACACTCAAGTGGGTATAGCTAGAGACAATTGGATGGGCCAGTCCTAACCCCCCGCCCGCCCCCCACCATGCAAGGAACAGAGACTTAGAGGAATTAAGACTAGAAAGACTTCAGGAAGAAATTTCTGGAGATGTCAGGAAAAGCTTCCTTGACTTGGCCCGACCTGGTCAGTGGGTGGGGAAAAGAGAGGTGATAACTCTGTAGAGCTCTGTAACTTCCGAAGCTAAGGAGCCTGTCCTATATTTCGACATCTGATAGGGCACGTGTATTGTGTAGGGAGAGGGGCAGAGGAATTGAATTTTACCCATTTCTTTTGAATCCCTTGCTCAATCTGGTGCTGTGCTAAAAGTATGCTTGTGAACATTTTCTTTTTAATAAATACCTTATAACTTTTGATGCTGGTAGCGATTCTCTGTTCCACATAGATCTTCACCGTCTTGGTCACACTATTTTAAAAGGAGCACCAGGGGGAAGGCAGTCAGTTGGTAAGTGGCTATTCCTCCAGGGGCACACAAGGCAGTAAACAGTCCCTGTGGTGACCAGGCAGTGGACAGTGGGAAACAGAGGCAAGGCCTCAGGACTTGGAAGGGAAGCTGGGAGTCTTGACCCTCCCAGGAGACAATTCCTACAAAGATCAGGTGATGGCAGCAGGTTACTGGAGAGAGAGAAAAGCCTCTCCAGGCATTGGGAAAACCTTGGAGGGCAAGGTGGAACAGGGCATGCAGGCCAGGGCAGGCCCATTCCTCTACACCCTGCACTGAAGGATGGGCTGTCAGTCTGTGGGTCAAGATGACTTACTACATTCCTTCTTTATTACTTGTGCTTGTTGTGACATTCTCCAGAAACAAGAGAATTTGCAAAATAGAAACAAGCTTAGAGGTGTACTCATTTGTTAGTCTTTCTTTGTCACAATTGAACTGAAAGCCTTCCAGTTCCTTTCATAAGAAGCTGCAGTTGATGGAAGGCTTAGGATCCTTATGGCAATTCTAGGTAAAAATCAGGTATCATGGTGTCTCTTTCACCATGTGAATGGGTACATATTATCTGCTCATTGTTGCTCCCACTTTTTTTCCCCTTTTGTATTCGTGCTCAACAATGCCTGTCATAACAGCTATTTCACTGGTGTTTATGAGGGACATTCTTGGTGGAAAGTGCCACCAAGTCGCAGCCGACTTAAGGTTACCCGAGAGAATTTTTCAAAACAAGAGACAAGCAGAGGTGGTTTGCCATTGCCTGCCTTTGCGTACTAACCAAGTACTGACCCCGCTTAGCTTCCAAGAGCTGACATGATCTGGCTAGCCTCAGCCACATAGGTCAGGGCAGGGACATTCTTGATGACATCCATAATCGTATCAAAAGCAGAAGATAAACCTCTTCTGTTAGGTGCTGTCCTCTGTGCTGAGAATCCAGAAGGTCTGCCGCAAGATGAACTGGGTGAGAAGAACGCATATTTTAGCAATCATCTGTTTTACTTGTGGTGTGTGTGTATATATATGGGTATATATATAGAGGGGGGGGGTTCAGGCAAAAGCTCAGTTCAATTTTCTTTCAGTTTGGTGAATATCTCAGGAACATTGGGTATGTCTCTTCCAAGTTTCTTCATGGCCAAAGAAACTGGTAGTAGCAAATCGAATATTCCTTTATCTTGAACCTAGAACACACATTATCAAGAATGAGATACTATGTCGTCTATTGAAGGACACTGCAAGCAGTTTGGTGTAGTGGTTAAGAGTGACAGACTCTAATCTGGAGAACCAGGTTTGATTCCCCAGTCCTCAACATGCAGCCAGCTGGATGACCTTGGGTCAGTCACAGGTCTCTCAGAGCTGTTCTCTCAAGAACAGTTCTCTCAGAGCTCTCTCAGCCCCACTTACCTCACAGGGTGTCTGTTGTAAGGAGAG